GTGACCTGCAAATTTTTTGATCACATACTCCATCAATAAAAATTTTTGAGCATGCAATCCCAATATGTGTTTATTTACTTACCTATAAATTATATACATGAACTTCTGAAATAATGATTTGTCATTAAAAAACATATGAGGAAAAAAACATATATGAGACAGAAATTTCAAAAGGATGCTATAAAGATGAAATAATATTTGGTCTTAGACCTGCACTTTAGGAAAATCAATTTGGTAGCCACGTGGAGGATCTCGGGGAGAAGGAAGAGACTCAAGGCCAGGAGACTAATTAGGAGATCATTGGAATTATCCCAGTAAGAAGTGAGGAGAGTCTGAAATATGGTGGTAGCCATGTAAGTAGAGAGAAGACAGATGCTGAGAACAGACAGAAACCACAGGCATTGACAACTTATGGAATATGTGAGGTGAGTGATAATGAGAAGCTGAGGATGATACTGAGATTGTGAACCAGAGTGACTGGAAGAATGGTGATAGATTTGACAGAAATGAGGAAGTTGGGAGGGGGGGTTGGGGGTAAAGATAATATAATGAGATCTGAGATACGGATGACAAACAGTGCCTGCCTATTCATCTTGAGAGACCTACTCTGTTCTACTCAAAAGGAAGGGTGTTGTTATTGTTCACTACCGCACTGCAAAAGCCTGCCCCCTAAGGAGTGCTTGTGGCAGCCACCAGGTAATATGGGAGACAGAGGGTGAATGTACTGCAAGGAGAGGGCATTTTCCTGATGGGACCTGCACTACTGTTGCTGCTGTGGGCATCTCAGTAGCTGTTAGGTTGGTAGTTTTTTAACATGAACAAAAAAATGCGTTGTGAATCTCTAGGGTAATTTAATGTAACACTCATAATAGTATTTAGATTAAATGTTTACAATAACTACAATGATAACTTTTGGTTTAAAAAACTCCAAATTAAAAATTACATTATATAATTATAAAATATAAATTTAATTCTACCTATAATTATGAAAGCTAAATATAAAATGAATTATAAAATAATTACCAACATTTTATGTCAGATATTCTATAAGAATTAGAATGAGTAATCTGGCAAGACCTCATATGCTTACTATTATCTGTAAGACTTCATTTAAAATTTCATATTACATATTTTGTTAAATATAAATAGCATTTTAAATTAAATTAATTACAACTTTGAAGATGTTTAATATAATATGATAATCATATATGAACTTTAATTTTGATGTTGGAATTTTTTATTTGAACAAATATTTGCACTATTTGGCTCAACATCAAACACAGTCTTAAATCTAATTCATTTCTGTATTTCAATTTAAAACAATAATAAAGTGAAAGTGCTTGCTTACACAAATACGTGGTAGAAAATGGTAAGAAAAGCTTTCTTTCCGAGAGAAAGAAATTTTTTTTTTTGTTTTTGGCCAACTAGCCAAATGACAAAAATAGTGCCAGTTACGTTGCAAAATATTTATTTTTCTGCTGGTTAGTAACAAGTGCTATATTAAAAGATAAATTTACTTGATGGTCAGTTGCATATATTGTTTCATTTTTAAGGGTTTACATATAAACTTGACTTTCTTCTCTTCTACCATGGACTGAGAATTGGTTACATTATCACAGAAACTTCTCTAAATGAATGACCAATGTGGCCAACCAGTTCATTTGAAAATCCACCAGATAGAAGAATAGTCTCATAAGCAAAGCATACATTGAAACTGGAAAACAGCCTTAATATTACTTCAATAAGAGACAAGAGAAAGTTTGTTTCTGCAGAATGTTTGTGATGGACTATGATGATTTCAAGATGGTGTGATAGCTTTGAGGCACATGCTGTGAGCAATCATGGTTTTCAAACAGCCTGACATTTGTGTGAGAAGGTCGGAAATTTTTGTAACATCTTGATCATGTGATTGCACAGCTGATGAAGTATGATTACCAGGTAATCCTGGGAAATAAGTGAACTACTCTGGTGCAAATGACAGTAGGTGCATGCGTCTGACCATTCCTTTGGAGCTTGACTGAGCTTGAATGTTGAACCCATGTGGCAGGTTGGAAACAACACTTAGTCAGAGATGGTCAGAGTTTGACATAATCTCTGCATGAACGCCAAAATCATTGCCTGATCATAATGGTTTTAAATTGATGCAGAAACAAACCTATAATACCCGAAACATGCACAAGCTTGTTGTCACCAAGGGGGAATGTTTTTTAATTTTTAAAATTTAAAAAACAATACATTTTTATTGATAGCTTGAGGGCCAAAACTCAGAAAGGAGTCAGATTGGGAATTTTTATGACCAAAGGCCTAGAAAAAGTCTGCCTCACCTGAAGCAGCATGGTACCCTAAGGGAGAGATAGGAGGCAGCATGTAAGTCAGGTAAGTCAAATCACCACAACCTCAAGCATCTATGGAAGATCCAGAAAAGACAGTTCTTGATACGAAGGTCCTTGGCACTGTCAAATGGTTCAACATTAGAAACTGATGTGATTTTATCAGTAGAAATAACATTAAGGAAGAGGCTTTACTGCCTGCTTTACTGCTGCACCTCAAAGACTGTGGGACCTTTCTATCTTATGGTGGAAACCTTCCATATGTATTGTCTTCCCCATCAGTATGTGACTTATTCAGTTCTGGTCTTTTCATCTGGAATGCTTAAAGTTTTCTATTTCATTGAATATCTATTTTTTCCCCCTGAAGAATTATACTCAGTTTTGCTGGGTAGGTGATTCTTGGTCATAATTCTAGTTCCTTTGACCTTTGGAATATCATATTCTAAGCCCTCTGATCCTTTAATCTAGAAGTTGCTGAATCTTGTGTTATCTTGACTGTGGCTCCATAATATTTAAATTGTTTCCTTCTGGCTACTTACAATATTTTAACCTTGATCTGGGGAGCTTTGGAATTTGGCTATAATATTCCTGAGAACTTTCATTTTGGGATCCCTTTGAGGAGGTGATTGATGGATTCTTTCCATGTCTATTTTAATGTCTGGTTCTAGAATATCACGGCAGTTTTCCTTGATAATTTCTTGAAAGATGAAATCTAGTCTCCTTTTTTTGATTTTTTTTATTATGGCTTCCAGGTAGTACAATAATTCTTAAATTATCTCTCCTCAATCCATTTTCCAGGTCATTTGTTTTTGCAATGAGATATTTCACATTTTCTTCTATTTTTTCATTCTTTTGATTTTGTTTTATTGTTTCTTGATATTTCATAAAGTCATTAGCTTCCACTAGTCCAATTCTAATTTTTAAGGAATTATTTTCTTCAGTGAGCTTTTGTGCCTCCTTTTCCATTTGACCAATTCTACTTTTTAAGGAGTTCTTTTCTTCAGTGAATTTTCAGACACATTTTTCCATGTGGCCTGCTTTTAAGTTCTTCTCTTTAGCTAATTTTTGTATACCTTTTTCCAATTGGCCAATTCTACTTTTTTAAAAAAATAATTAATTAATTTTAGTTTTCAACATTCACTTCCATGAGATTTTGAGTTCTAAATTTTCTCCCCTCCCTCTCCTCTCCCCGAAGATGGTGTGCAATCTGATATAGGCTCTACTTATACATTCATATTAAGCATATTTTCCCATTAGTCATGATATAAAGAACAATGAAAACTAATGGGAGGAACCACGAGAATGAAGGAATAAAACAACACAACAAAGGAAAAGGAAAGCAAATAGTATGCTTCCATCTGCATTCAGATTCCACAGTTCTTTCTCTGAATGTGGATAGCATTTTCCATTGTAAGTCTTTTGGAGTTGTCTTACATTTTTGCACTGCTGAGAAAAGCCAAGTCTATCAAAGTTATTCACTGCATAATGTGGCTGTTACTGTGTACAATGTACTCCTGGTTCTGCTCACTTCACTCTGCATCAGTTCATGTAAATCTTTGTAGATTTTTTTGAAGTCTGCCTACTCATCATTTCTTATAGCACAATAATATTCCATTACATTCATATACCACAACTTGTTCAGCCATTCCCCAATTGATGGACATCCCCTCAATTTCAAATTCTTTGCCACCACAAAAATAGCTACTATAAATATTTTTGTATATCTGAGTCCTTTTCCCGTTTTTATGATCTCTTTGGCATACAGACCTGGAAGTGGTATTGCTTGGTGCCAATTCTACTTTTTAAGGAGGTCTTCTCTTCAGTGGATTTTTGTGCCTCTTTTACCCTTTGGCCAATTCTGTTTTTTAAGGTGTTATTTTCTTCAGTATTTTTTTGTGCCTCTTTTATCAAACTGTTGACACTTTTTTTCATGATTTTCTTGCATCATTGTCATTTCTTTTCCCAACTTTTCTTCTACCTCTCTTATTTGAGTTTAAAATTCCTTTTTGAGCTCTTCTAGGAATTCTTTTTGGGCCTGAGGCTTTAGATGTAGCAGTTTTTACTTTGTTGTCTTCTGAGTTTATGTTTTGATTTTCCCTGTCACCATAGTGACTTTCTGTGGTCTGGTTCTTTTTTTGTTATTTGTTCATTTTCCAGTCCATTTCTTGACTTTTAACTTTATGTTAAAGTTGAGCTCTGTTCCTGAGAAGGGGGGGGCCACTGTCCCAAGCTTTAGGTTTTCTGTGCAGCTGCTTTCAAAGCTAGTTTTGGAACTCAAAATTTTACAAAAATGAATGTTGAAAACTATCTTTACATGTAACTGGAAAAAATATTATTAAGAAAATAAAAAGAATTGTAACAACCAAAACTGTACCAGACTTGGTCCAGAAGGTAGAAGGATGTTCTCTCTCGTTTTAATATCTTTTCTATTGATATATAGCATTTATGTTGGTTTATTTGTCTGAAGCACTGTACAGTGGATTGATGTCTTGACCTAGCTACTGATTTATCTTCTCTCCAATCCAAACAAGAACCAAATTCAACTAGACAGTTTTCCTGCTGACAATTAATGAACTGAGGATTTTTAATTACTATTGTGAAAAAAATATAACTATACCTTCATAGAGTGCTGTATTTGGGATAAGAAGTTACAAACCAAACAACATTTGGTGACCAGAAAATAAATCACTCTTTATTTGGATGACTCAGTTGATTTTCAATCCAATTTGTACAAGTGTGAGAGGAAAAACCTACTAGCTGGAGCACCCCCCCCAAGTAGTCTTTTCACTCTAGTTACCTCTAGTTATGGTATCAGACTGATGTCCCAAAGCTAATTTTTGGGGAAAATGTTCCTTATCTCCAGAGTACCACGCTAAATAAAGGGTTAACCTTTTGAAATCATAATCCTTCAATAATGAACAGTGCTAAAGTCATCAACTGTTTGGGAATGGATGGGTACAAGTATAAAAACAAACAAACAAACAAACAAAAACCAAAAAGACTCTTGACTATGAAACCAATAAATATCAGTCCAGGTGATATCTACTAAGAGCTGGAGAACTGTAGTACCTTTCTCATAGGACCTTGAAGAGCAGATGATCATAGCTTTTTGTGGCTTTCTTTCTCCAGAAATAAGGAGCTTTTCTGTAGTTGAAGCAAATACTCTGGTGCATTGTGCTGGGTTTTGCTAGAGTTCTTAAGTCTGCCAACAACATAACCATGGAAGTATGAGGCAATTTCCTAAATTTATTGTTCATTAGGTCCCCAGGGTTTTATGTGGATCACAGCTTGGGATAATAAGTGAATATCTCAACAAAGGCAGGATTCATGTACTGAAAATTTTGCTCACTCTGCAAGGTAATAGAAATCAGTAGTAGGAATCTCTAATTCAGGGAGCAGATGAAGGCAGTCTTCAATAATGTATATAGTGTGACACGAGACAAAACACACCAAGTACCAAGCAATGGGTCCACATTTACAATGATGCCCAAATTCTAACTTTTTAAAATTTAAAAACACTAATAATAGTTTTTTATTTTAACGTGGCTTTTTACAAAAGTCTCAGAGTAGGTGGAACATTAGAAAGCAATTCAGAATAATTTCAAGTTTGAAACTTTGACCGGCACTATCTCCTATTTAACTCCCTTAAAATTTTGCCTAATGTTAGCCCCCAATAAAGGTATTTTAGACTCCAGGGACAAGTGAAAACAAAAGATGGAAATGAAAATACTTTGAGAGACCTTTGCATTGAGTCCCAAGTAAGTGGGAGAGTAGAAATTTCCCTCATGTGATGATGTACATCATTAATTCTCTCACAGGACCTAGTCAGAAAATGTGGGGCAAACATGAGTGGAATTAAAGTAACTTGTTGATCAAGCCCAAGGAAATATTGCTAGAAGGCATTCATAATGGGATCTACAATAAGGACCAGAGGTTAAAGAGAGTCAGTGTCACATATACAGGTAATCTTTGACTAATAAATGTCCCTTCCACATGAACTTCACTTTACGGAGGACCTCATTTCCTCAGCTGGCACTGAAGGACCCATTGTCAGGGCATCCCCTGGACCCTAATCAGAAAGGGCTTTTGCAGGGACTCTGGACTAAAGACGGCAGGAGAAACAGTTATGGGGCACATAAATATGTAAATAACTGCGTGAGGGGTCTAATAGTTTTCCACTGGGATCTGAGTATCTTCAAATAGGACAGTGCCTCAAATGGCCTAGTAAAGTTATGATCTGGCCAGCCAATGTATTCCAAAGCAGTACCTGCAAAGCTCCCAAGAGTCCCCTAGGACTCCAATAGAAGTTGTTGTTACTGTACAGCTTCACAGCCCCTCTGAAATAGCCTCCATTAGCAGTTCTTCTAAGCCTAAGAGCACCATGATCACACAAGAAATTTGAGAGAGGAAAAGGGAAAGACTATATTCCTAGCATATCAAGTTTACTCAGGACCCACTGTTTGTATAGTTCAGCTATGTGGCTAGATAGAAGTCTGGGGGCAGATAGGTGGCACAGTGGATAGAGCACCGGCCCTGAAGTCAGAAGGACCTGAGTTCAAATCCAGTCTCAGACACATAACACTTACTAGCTGTGTGACCCTGGGCAAGTCACTTAACCCCAATTGCCTCATCAAAAAGAAAAAAAAAAATAGAAGTCTGGTCTTAGATACTTACTAGCTGTGTGAACCTGGGCAAGTCACTTAGCTTCAGTTTGCCTCAGTTTCCTCAATTATAAAATAGGAGTAATTATAGCACTTATTTCTCAGGGTTGTTGTAAAGGTCGTGAGATATTTAAAAAAACAAAACAAAAAAAACCAACAGTAAAAAAACAACAGCACAGTGCCTGCCACATTGTAGACACTATAGAAATACACCCTGTAACCTCTCATTCAGGAACCTAATCATTTGTGATTTTGTTCCTGTGGAAAAATGTATTCCTAAATCAGCAAGACCCACTGAAGACACTGAGATGGACAGGGCAAGCTCGTGACCAGATGGCAGAAAGTGCCCTGGCTTTGGAATACACCTGAGTCTGGGTCCAGCTCTCCATTTTGTGCCTAGGGATTTCACTCAGTTCTCTGGGTCTCAGGTTTTTCAGCTCGAAAACAAGAGGGTTGGGGGAGCTGGTCTCTAAAAGTCCCTCCCAGTTTTAGTGCTCTTGAAACCACAACCTCCAAGTGTGAAATAAAATGACACACAGAGGTTTCATGGCACCATCTACAGGCTACATTGAGAAGTTCTGTATTAGGGACAGAAATCTGTGCAGAGTCATCATGGCAATGTGATCAATTAGCTGACAAATATGTTGGTATCTTAGAACAGAGGTTCTTAACCTTTTTTTGTGTCTTGAACCCCTGGAAGTGGGAAGGAGGGAGGGGTACTATAATTATTCCCATTTTACAGTTGCGGAAACTGAGGAAAATAGAGGTTAAGTGACTTGCCCTGAGACACATCGCTAGAAAGTGTTTGAGGCCAGACCTCAGAAATCTATTTAACCTAGTACATAGCTGAACTATACAAACAGTGGGTCCTGAATAAACTTGATATGCTAGGTTGGAATAAAGTCTTCTTTTTTTTCTGTCTCAAGTTTCAGCCATGATGATGGTGCTTTTAGAAGAGTGGCTGATGGGGGCTATTTCAAAGGGACCTGTGAGGCTTTACAGTAACAGCAGCTTTTACAGGGATTCTGGGGGACCCAGGGCACTCCAGTCTGGTACAGCTTATGGACCTTTTTCTCAGAATGTTTTTCAGTGCATAAAATAAAATACATAAGATTTCACAGGAAACCAATTTATGTGAAATACAATTATCAAACAATTAAAAAAAAATCAGAGCCAAGGTTAAGGACTCCTGGCTTACATAATGGTAACAAATTTTTTATGAAGTTCCTGGAATAGGTTATAAAATATTTTTCTTTAGAGATTTAAAAAAATAATAAAGTTCTCATTTTTCTATGATTGATTAGCCAGTCTGTTTGGAAGCATTTTGAAATAGATCAAAGGATCACAGATTTGGAGCTGAAAGGGACCTCTGAGGCCATTTAGCCCTTCACCCTCATTTCGCAGATAAAGAAACTCTTCATGAAGCTCAGAGAGGTCATTTGACTTGCTTTGGGCCACACGGCTAGTAAGGTAGGAGCAGGATTTAAGACCAGGTCTTATTGACTCTCAAAGATCCATCCTTTTGATTCTGTGAAAAATCAAGGAAGTCTCTAATAGGTAGACTACAGTTAACATACCAATTATGAAGACCACAGAGTTGCGTCTGATTTTGAGGAAAATGTCAGCACAACTAAAGATGTTCATTTTCTCAAAATGATTAATAAAGAGCTCTGGGATCATTCTCTTTAAAAACACATAGTTCCCTCAAAGTACATTCAAAAGATTAATTATGAGAGAAAATAAGAGATGAGAGGGAAAAAAAAAGTCCTTTACACTGCCTTAAGCTTAATACTCTATTTTCACTAACCTACACAAGGTATGAGAATAAGAACATACAGCGGGGTCCTGGAAGGAACTGGTGATATACTGAAAATGCTTTATACAAACCCTTGTTTTTCTAAATACTGAGAAGGTCCAGGCTATTGGTACAGTGAGATAGAAGGATCTAACTGGAATTATTTACCGGTTTTGAAGGAAAATTTCACATCTCTTCTCCAAAGGCAATTGCTGGGTAAAGTTGCTAATTTCTGATGAACCAGGGTGAGAAGATTTATCTTCAGATAAAAAAGTCTTTATTAGTTGGTAGGACTCAAATTTAAAAATGAAAATGCTGCAGTTATTCCTCAGATAGTTAGTATTATCTTTTTTGTCTCCTAAAAAAAAAGAAAGAAAAAAGTTAACACCACCCTCTCTAAGATATACTACAAGTCTCCGCAATGAAGGATACTTAGCTGGGACACTTGCAGGCATGGATGGTCCCTTTTTTAGAGGTGGCTCTATTTCTTCTGAGACCTTTTAATTCTGTTTGTCACTGTGTAGTTAACCGTGTTTCCCGCCTTTGCATGCCTGGTTTATTCAGAATATAATGACTTAGAAAAAGTTGCTATGGGCAGCTAAGTGGCACAGTGTATAGAGCACCAGCCCTGGAGTCAGGAGGATCTGAGTTCAAATGTGATGTCAGACACTTTCGAGCTGTGTGACACTGGGCAAGTCACTTAACTCTGACTGCCTCCAAAAGAAAGAAAGAAAAAAGAAAGAAAGAAAGAAAGAAAGAAAGAAAGAAAGAAAGAAAGAAAGAAAGAAAGAAAGAAAGAAAGAAAGAAAGAAAAAGAAAGAAAGGAAGGAAGGAAGGAAAGAGGGAAGAAAGAAATAAGAAAAGAAAGAAAGAAAGAAAGGGAGGAAGGAAGGAAAAAAGGAAGAAAGAGAGAGAAAGAAAAAAGAAAGAAAGAAAGAAAGAAAGAAAGAAAGAAAGAAAGAAAGAGAAAGAAAGAAAGAAAGAAAAAGGTTGCTGTGTGGTAATCCCAAGATTTTAAAAATGTCATTCTTCAGGAAAGAAGTTAGGAGAGAGCCTAGTGACCAGAGATCTACTTGAAGATCAGCATCAAGGTGACACAGGGTGGGTAAATACTATTAAATAACTGGATTGTCTTGGGTTCTTATGCATTGTTTCCTTGTGTCTTGTGTGCATGCATCTTGTCTCCAGTCAGCTAAGTGAATTAAGCTTTTTTTGCCTTTTTCTCACAGAGACAGAAATCCTAGCGTCTGAGTTATCTGGAGATCAGAAGTAAGGTGAAAAATAAACTAGGCACATCTCAGATTTCTTTTTTTTTAAATTCTTACCCAATTTTATTTTATTTTCAGTTTCAGATTTTCTCCATCCCTATATCCTTTCTCCCCCCTTTGATAAGGCAAGAAATAAAAAAACTCATTATAAATTTTGAAGTTATATAGAACAAATGTCCATACTAGCCAAATTAAAAAAAGAAAGAAAGGGCAGCTAGGATAGAGTGCCAGATCTGGCGTCAGAAAGACTCATCTTCATGAGTTCAAATTTGGCCTCAGACACTTACTAGCTGCGTGACCCTGAGCAAGTCACTTCACCCTGTTTGCTTCAGTTTTCTCATCGTTAAATGAGCTGGAGAAGGAAATGGCAAACCATTCCAGTATCTTTGCCAAGAAAAACCCCAAATGGGGTCATGAAGAATCAGATACAACTGAAGTGACTGAACAACAAAAAATAAAACAAAACAAAAGTTAAAAAAGAAAAAGAAAGAAAAAAAGCCCATCGGTTTTCTATCTGTAAGTGGATAACATTTTTTATCATGAGTCTTTCGGAACTGTGGCAGGTATTAGATTTCAATCTTACAAATAAGGAGTTTGCCACAATAGTTAGTCACAAGGACTAGCCAAAGAGCTACCTAAAGGAGAATAAAGGACAGTGGAATTTACTTTAAGCAATACATACCAGAAAGGTTGTTTCTGCCAGTGTTAATTAACACCTACTTGTGTAGCACAGAGTTCAGCTGGTCTCCATCTTCAAGAAGAAAGTGAAAGGATTGAAGGTATACATCTCTTCTCCACAGGTTATCAAGGAGAAGGAACAGAGGTATTTCAAGGAGAAAGCAAAGAAGAAAAAGGATGTGAAGAGGTTGGGGGTGGGTAAAGGAGGGGAGGAAATATTATCTTCTGAGATACAGAAGAGTTATAGAACATGACACAGACAAAGAGAGGAAGAAGGACCACCAAACATTTGAGTTATGTAACAGATAATAACAAAAATAATAGTAGATCACATTTGTACAGTGCTTGAAGATTTGCAAAGCAGTGAATTGGAGCCTCTTTTTCACCAAGGAATCATGATGTTGACTCACAGGTGCCACCATGAAGAATGAATGAAGAATAGACAAAGAGGGGTAGTTGGTAATGCCCTGTTAAAGCATCCTGAGATAGTTATTTTTCTACCTAACATAAACACTAAAGGTCAGGAGTCTTCTGGGGCATGTATCGGGTACATGACAGAGCACCTCCTGAGACTTGTCACACTTGACAACCAGTACTCACGCTTCTGGTGATTTATGAAGGAACTCAACAACCAAACTAAGGACTATTGAATCCTAAGGGGGGAAAATGAAGATCTTAGGAGCATAGGTGGTATTTTCTTCATCATTCCTGATTAAAGATAGGGGCTTAAGGGAAATATGAATTTAGCCAATGTATATCTGGCTAAGAAGATGGTGATTGAGGAAATCTGGATCTCTGAACCATGGTTTTAAAATATGGGAATGATGTGTTTTTAACTAGGGGTGGAGTGCACCTTACAAGGGCTTTTGAATTAGAGTGTTTGTAATTTAATAAAGAGGGCTTTAAACTGAAAAGGGATGGAAAGGAATAAAACTGTTCATCTCAATCTAACACAATTGATTCTATATGGAGCACCAGGTCAACAAAAGAGGAGGAACAGAAGAGAAAAACAGCATAGAATATAATCATAGAATATAATATCTAAGAAGAGAGGCAGTAATGAAACCCCTCTAATGGAGGGGCTTACACACAAATGCACAGAGTGTGGGCAATGAACCAGGAGTACGCAAGATCCTCATGCAAGAAGACAAAACTAATCTAGGTGAGATGGGACTCATGATGGAACTATGTCTCTGGAAGGGAATATCAAATCAATCCAATCAAATCAATCAATCAAATCAAATCAAAATATACAAAATAGATAAAAGGGAGGTATGTTAGGGAAGAATTATATATATATATACATACATATATATATATATATATATAAACTATATTCATTAAAAAGATAGACTCACATGAAGAAAAATCCAGGAATTCATGGGGGAACATATGGTAGTGAGTATTTGGGAGAGACCAGATGGAGGGAAAAAAGAGAAATGATTTTGTTATGGGATTATACAACAAGCCACTTAGAAGGAGGAATTAGAGGCAAGTGTAACAAACATTATAAACTTGGTATAGAAACAGAATATTTTAGTGATGGAGGACTGCGACTATTTGGATTTCTGCTGGAGCTTTCCGTCAAAAGCAGAGATACTGATCCATTTGTGCCTTGCCTTGGTGATAATTTCATTCTTTAAAAGGTGGAGGAAGGAATGAAAAAACCCAGTAGTCTGAATCAGATTCCGACTAACAAGCAAACATCTTGGCGTAGGGGTAGGTCACAGGACTTGGAGTTAGGAAGACCTAGGTTCAAATCCTGCCTCAAACTCTTTCTGGCTGTGTGGCCCTGGGCAAGCCACACAATCTCTTTGATCCTCAATTTTCTCACCTGTAAAACAAAGGATTTGGATTCAGTGGTCTCTAAGGTCTCTTCTACCTCTAAATCAGTAATCCTGTCATTTTGGTGAACTGGCAATAACTATGCCAAGATAGAATTCAGGGCAGAGAAGGAGAAAAAAGCCAGTCAGAATCTGACACGCCTCTTAGATTTTGTGACTGCAGATTTGAAAAGGGTCAGATAAATGACAAGTGGCACTTGATGGGCTCATATTTTACATGGGAAGTGGGCCCAAGAGAGATAGGAATCTCTTTCAAGAATGAAATTTTGAAACACTCAAGAAGTAGAAATTATTCCGATTAGGAGGAAAAGACAGTGCTACCTAAAGAGATCGCTGTTTCTCCTAAGAGAACTCAACATCCAAGTCAAGTTTTTAAAAGACATAGACAGAAGACACGGGAACACAGTCCCTGAAGAAATGGTCACACCGAGCATAATGGTGCAGAGTGTGGTAGGTGTGAGCGGCTGGGACAAATCACCAACGAGGAATTTCAAAGAATGAGAGTAAGAGATGTCATCAAGGAATTCTATGAACAGAAGACAAGATGGGCTAGCCCAGCTGCAACAAGAAGAAATAACGGGTCACCGTCTGCTCATGGGAAGATACGGACAAGTGCAGCACTGGACCAGCGGGCGTGGGTGGCTTATGCTCTGCACTCCTGGAGGAAACACTCACACGTGCGTTACAGTATTGTCCTCACTGAAAGTCTTCAAGCAGAGGCTAGATGTCCGCTTGTGGAGTATGCTGCAGAAGGGATTCTTAGCCAGGTAGGCTTTGGACTAGACTCCTCCAGGGTCCTTTCCAGCTATGACATCCTGTGATTCAGCGATTGTTAAAAGTAGCAGAGGCCTTAAAAACATTTAGTCACACCTCCGCAATGTTTACTTTGTGAAAGGAACTACAAGCTGAAAAGAGGGTCAATATGGCCACATTTCCTGGGTTTTCAAGCTCCCCTCCTATCTTTGAACTAGGGCTGCAGCAAAGAATTTCTCTTTCTTACCCCGGATGAGCACATGATGGCCTTCTGGAGACAATGCAAACATGGGCTGCCAGGGGTTTCCCAAATGATAAGAGGGAGGGAGACCCAATTCACAGATGATCTGTGACTTGGTCACATCCATCAGATACACGGATCCATCCCAAATAAAGAGCAGTACCTGGGGAAGCAAACAGACTTGGAAGTTATTACAAGGATTGTGTATTACATTGCCGGTATTCCTCACTCACAGAAAGATCTCTGGGGACTGTGGGGCGAAAATGATTGGGAATCCTATGGTAGAATGATGGATTACATTGGATAACATTCCCAAAGAGAAGTCTGTATTGCTACTACTCACCCAGTGCCTAGAACCAATAAGAGCTTTAAATTAAAACAAGAGAAATAGAAAACAGTCCAATAAATAGTTTGTTTGCTGGAGTATTATTTGTTAACTCATGATATTTGTAAATAACAAAAGGGGCCATGATTTCAGGCCCCAGCTTTGAGCTAGGAATCATCTACATCCTACCAAGTGCCACAGGGCTAGGACTAAATTAACCCATCAGTGTTTTAGAGAAGCTCCAGGTCCTCCAAAAGGATGAGCTCTATTCCTATAGTCCCTGCTTATTTCAGGTCTTCACCGAATTTAAAGATTGAAAATGACTTACTTACCATAGAAGGTAAGGATGAGATGGGAGCCACAGCACAAATAGTTTCATTTGGATGCTTCACAGGCCTATCAACAAGAAGAAAATATGGTGGATCTTGAGATGCTCATTTAGGAGCAATGACAATTACAAGAGCCCTGGAATTCAAAAGCAGAGATTTGTAGGTATCTTCTTTAGTCAGTTACGAAATGCCATATGCCCAAAAGGGTGCTTGTCATTGTACACACCTATGTGAAAGAAAGTATGTGCATACTGGCCTGATAGCATTATTTCATTTCAATTCATTTCCTTATTAGAAATGAAGATGAGAACACGGTGTAGGAGATATTACATTGTAGAGCTGCTTTTTTTCAGGCAAACAGTAAAAAACAAAAATGCTTGTCATGTTTCTCCAAATTCTCAGAATACACAATAAATTTTGTTTAGATCACTAACCTCTCCACAATCACACTGATGCTGGGTTCCTTGGATCTTTCTGATTTTACCAGGTGAAGAGACCCATCGGTGCACAACACCAGAACCTGCACTTTGGAGGTGGCCACAAACTGTGGGAATGGGTATTCCTTGGGGTTTTCACAATTTATCATGAAGTGAAGATTTTTGCATAAACACCCTTCCGGGAGGGAGATCACAGCAAGTAGGAATCCTAGGAAAAGCAAATGCCCACAGCCTGGTCAAAAAAGAGCTTGCACAGAGGTGGAAGATTCTTTCTCTATAAGAGAATCAGGATGAGCTTCATGTAGAAGGCAGTGCTTGAGTTAAATCTTGAAGGAAGTATGCAGACAGGTCCTGATTAATGTAAGATTAAATAATGTGAATTTTGATTTAGTGTGAATTATAAAATGACATCAGGTCACATGTAATGTGAGCCAAAGATATGAGAGGCATGCCTACTGGCAAATCAGGGTAGATTAGTAGGGAAGAAACATGCCTAACCAATCTTAAGAGAGCTTTTAGGACTAAAGAAGGGGTGGTGCTGATAGGATAAAGAGGGACCTCATTCATCAATCAATCAGTAAATAAGAATTTATTAAGTACCTCCTATGTGTCAGGTACTGAACCACACACTACAGACAAAAATGAAACCATTCCTGCTCTTAAGGAGTTTATATTCTACCAAGGGAGAAAACATGTCCATTTATAAGAATATGCAGAATAAAAATTTTTTTAAAAAGGTAATTTAGGGAGGGAAAGAACTAGCAATTGGGAGAATTAGGATAAGCTTCATGTAAAACAGAGGTTCTCAAAGTGGGCAATACCACTGCCCCGGAATGATCCAGGGGGGCAGTAGTAGCCTCTGGTGCAATTTAGGGAGGTTAAATGAAAATAAGGGGGTGGTGGAAGTATAAGGAAAGAAGAGAAGACAAGAAAAATTTGAAAAAACCATTCATACATATTTCATCTGATGTGTAACAGAGTTAAACTCAAAGTGATTAAATTATTTTCCAAATAAACATACAAAATGCAAGTTATTATCAATCAGTGGTCTAGTCTGCCAACAGGTTGCATACTGTCAGAAAGTCCAGCACGCATCGGCAGGAATATGTGTGTGTAATGACTTGTTTACAATGTGACACTACGATATTATACAGTTACATGATGCAATATTGCATCATCAAAATTTCAATGCAGGAAAAACCCCACAAATTTGCAACAAATGATTAAATTTAAGATGCATCATTTTTAAAAAGAAAATTTTATATATTTTTTGAAATGATGCAAATTTTTTTAAAAAACCATTAAAGGGTTTAAAGACAGTAGATTTCTGGGAGGAGGGATGCTGAGTAATTTTTCTTTTGAAAAGGAGGCAGTAGGTTAAATAAATTTGGGAACCTCTGATGTAGAAGAAGGCAATGCTTGAACTAAATCTTGAAGGAAACATAGATTGGTCCTAATTAATGCAAGCTTTAATAATTTGAAATTTTTCATTCCCCAATTGATAAATGGCCAAAGGATATGAACAGACAGTTCTCAGATGAAGAAATTAAAGCCATCTATAGTCATATGAAAAAATGCTCTAAATCATTATTGATTAGAGAAATGCAAATCAAAACAACTCTGAGGTACCACATCACACCTACCAGATTGGCCAACATGACAAAACAGGAAAATGATAAATGTTGCAGAAGATGTGGGAAAATTGAAACACTAATGCATTGTTGGTGGAGTTGTGAACTGATCCAACCATTTTGGAGAGCCATTTGGATCTATCCCCAAAGATCTATAAAAATTTGACCCAGCAATAGCATTTCTAGGGCTGTAACCCAGATAGATCATAAAAATAGGAAAAGGACCCAATGTACAAAAATATTTATAGCAGCTCTTTTTGTGGTGGCAAAGAACTGGAAATTGAGGGGATGCCCGTCAATTGGGGAATGGCTGAACAAGTTGTGGTATATGAATGTAATGGAATACTATTGAGCTATAAGAAATGATGAGCAGGCAGACTTCAGGACTGCACGTTGTGCAATGATTAACGTTAGCCCTTCTCAGCAATGCAAGGATCTAAGACATGTCCAAAGGTCTCATGATGGAAAATGCTATCCACATCCAAAGAAGGAACTATGGAGTTTGAATGCAGATCAATCATCCTATTTGCTATTTTTTTTCTTCTGTTTTGTTTTGTTTCCTCTTTCTGGTGGTTCTTTCTATTGGTTCTAATTCTTCCTTACAAAATCACTAATGTGAAAGTATGTTTAATAGGAATGTATAAGTATAGCCTATATCAGATTGCATGCCATCTTGGGGAGGGAGGGAGAGAAAAATTTAAAACTCAAAAGCTTATGGAAATGATTGTTGATGAATCAAAATAAATTAAAAAATAATTCAAAATTTGATTTAGTGTGAATTATAAAATGAAACCAGGTAACATGTAATGTGACCCAAAATTCAATTAATGAGATGGCTGCAAACTAGTTGAGGTTTTAACATGCCACCATATCTTTAGTATACACTTGCCTATCATCATGTGTGAGTGTGACATGCTGTACACCATAGTACTAAGACTTATGTGAATTTTTAAAAAAAGAACCCTTAATAAAATTGGCAAAAAGAATAATACTCTAGATAGAAACATTGCCAGTACAAAAAGAAGAGGATTGTTATTACATTAGAATAAAAAAAACCTGACATTACTGAATAGCATGAATATGGTTATAGTAACTCTAAAACAGAATGATATGGCAGAATGCCTAAATCTAAGGTACAGAATATTATAAAACATGCAGGTGAGAAAAAGGAAAAGTTGCATCAGTTTTTTGTGGTTAAGGAAGAGTAGTGTTAATATTCTTTCCCCATTCTAATCCATCCTTCACAAAATTGGTAAAGTCATCTTCCTAAAGCAAAGAAGGTTTGACCATGTCACTCCTCCCTAGTCAATAAACTCCCTATCACTTCCAGGTTATAAAATCATCTGCTTGGTGTTCAAAGTTCTTCATAACCTGGCCCTCTCCCACCTTTCTAGTCTTCCTACACTTAACTTCCTTCACTGGACTCTGAGATCCAGTGAAACAGGCCTCCTAGCTGTCCTTAAATAAGAAACTCCATCTCCCAATTCCATGCATTTTTACAGCTTTGTCCATTATGCCTGGAATTCTCTCCCTCCTTATTTCTACCTCCTGACCTCCCTGGGCTTCAGATCTCAGCTGAAATCTCACTTTCTATAGGAAGCTTTTTTCAATCCCCCTTAATTCTAGTGCCTTACCACTGTTGATTATTTCCAATTTAACCCATTTATAGATGGTTTGTACATAATTGTTTGCATGCTGTCTCCATCATTAGACTGTGAACTCCCTGAGAGCAAGGACTGTGTCTTGCCTTTCTTTGTATCTCCAGAGTTTAGCACAGTGACTGACACATAGTAGGTACTTTTTTTTAAAGGCAATTGGAGTTAAGTGACTTGCCCAGGGTCACACAGCTAGTAAGTGTCAAGTGCTTGGTCTGAGTTCGTATTTGAACTCAGGTCCTCCTGACTTCATGGCCAGTGCTCTATCCACTGCGCCACCTAGCTGCCCCAACACAGAGTAGGTACTTAATAAATGTTTAGGGACCAAATGACTAATAATGATGGAAATGTGGTATCTTTTTGCTAGATGGTTTGAAGATCACAATTTTAAAAAAACTTATTCCTTCTTAGCAGAGCATCTACTCAAACAAAAACTTCAAGTTTACAGCATTGAGTATTCAAGTTTTACATTACAGGCAGTGAAATAAAATGGAAAGTGCATAGTGAAGAAATTTTTACTGCAAGTGGTAGTTGGTATGTTAAAAACTGAATTCATTGGCATAATGTTAAAATTACTGGAGAAGTGGGTAGTGCAGATGAGGATGTGGCAGCTAAATATCCTTATGTTTTAAAGAAAATAATCAAAGAAAGCAGACACATGATCAACATATCTTTAATGTGGACAAAATGAACTTATTCTGAAAAGGAGGCCTTCCAGAGCTTACATTTCCAAGAAAGAAAAAACTCAACCTGAATTTAAAATGTCCAAGGATCACCTGACCATTATTTCAGAATTAATGCTGAAGGGAATTACATATTAAAGCTGATGCTTATTAGTTTCCAAATCCTCTTGCTCAGAGAGGTGAGGCTACAACCATCCACTGCTTCTAGTTCTTTGGTGGTCAAATAAGAAAACTGGGTGACTAAAGTTGTTTTCATAGACTGGTTTTCAACTTATTTTACCATAGCTGTTGAAGAACATTCCAAGGATAACAATGTGACACTTAAAACATTACTGATTTTAGAAAATGCTCTATGTCAGGGATCAGCAAACTATGTATGACCTGAAGGCCAAATCTGACCTGACCTGTGCTTTCCTACATTCCGCAAGTAAAGAATGGTTTTTGCATTTTAAAATGAAGTTTTACTATATTTTAAAATGTAAAAACCATTCTTAGCTGGGAGCATACAAAAGCAATTGGTACAAAAGCAGCTGAGGCAAGATTTAGTCTCCAGACCATAATTTGCCCAACCCCTCTATCCTCAGGTCACCCAACTACATTGGTTCATTGTGTGAAAATGTTGGCATGCAAATTCTTTCAGAAGTGGATAAACTTCTCAGTACCTATCAGTGTATGTTTGAAGATTTAAAGAAAAAGAAAACAGTTCACTCTATACAGCTAAATATTTTAAATGAATTTTGATATTTTCACTATAATGATGTTTGCATCATATTGTCTGTTCAGGCTTATCTTTAGGTACAATATTCAGTAAGTAAGAAAAATAGTAAAAATTTTGCTTTCTATAGACTCATTACTTTGCTATAAATTTGAATCAGAAACACCTTATTTTCTTATCTTTCACTACTATATTACATTAATGGATAAACTTATTTTTAAAAAAACCTTCATTGTATATTTCCATTGGGTTAGAACCAATTGCCATATTTTACATATGATCATAACTGTGAATAGTGTGAATTCAAATAATGCTATGACTTCATGGGATTCATTCACACTAATGGGGACCTAGCTGTAAGGGATTCTATGAGGAAGAAAAGCATTCCAGGCATGGGTGATGATAGGTTATACCAAGGTGCTGAGGTGGGATATGGAATGACATGCATGAGGAATAGCAAGGCAGGTTTGATTAGACCATAGCATGCAAGAAGGGGATTAATGTATAATGGGGCTGGAAAGTTA